GGACGTCGACAAAATTTGAAGAGTCGGTTCACTTCATCTTGGGACGAATATGAGTTCATCCGGATGAAATTTTTACAGAGAACAATTCATCCTGGGACGAATTTGCATTTGTCTGGATCAAAATTTTCCAGTGAGCATTTCGTCCTGGCACGAATATGAATTTCAACTGAACAAAAATTTTTCAGAGGACAATTCGTCCTGGGACAAATTTGAGTTCGTCTGGACGAAAATTTTTTAGAGAGCATTTCGTCCTTGCACGAATATGAATTTCGTCTGAATAAAAATTTTCCAGAGAATATTTCATCCTGGGATGATTAAGCATTCGTCCTGGACGATCAGGACTTAGAAAAATTTTCCTCGACTCTTGTTCGTTCCATTGCTCTTTAGAGGAGATAACTGACTTGATCGTCCCCTACGAACTATGTTCATCCCGTACGATCAGTATAAATTGTTAAAGATCTCCTTAAGTGTGTGTGTGTTTATTCACTCAATTACAATCACTCCCTCTCAAACTTAATTCAAAGAAAAATATAAGCTTCAATTCATAAAATCTCTCTTGCTAAATTTGATTTGAAATCTTCAATAGTCTGGAGTTTGATTTTCCTGAAATGTTAGTTCACACAAGAGTAAAAACAAATTTCCCAAAAAGTTTTAGGAGATATCAACACATAAAACAATAATATTTAGAATCATCAAAACTATACAAGTAGCAAGAATATAAAACATGCAAATAGCAACTCTCTTAACATTTAGTAAACTAAAGGGTTGTTTATAAATTTCATTTTCATATGAGAAATGAAAACATTTCATCAATATTTTCTGTAAAATAATCGAGAAGCTGAATAAGTCTCAGACGCTGTCCAACATATACCTATACAAGAAATAATACCATTCTAATTCCCCTAATTAATCCTCAGATTCAAATGAGAGAGACTAGTGAGAGAAAGTTACTTTTTTAAAAAATTTCTAATCTGTTTTCTCTGGTTATGCTCGTATGGTGGTGGAGGGTCATCATCGATCATCGTTTGGTGATGACGGGAATACCTCCAATCCACATTTTGGTAGGTATCCTTATGATAAAATTCATATTGGATCCAAAGGCAGATGTCTTACAAATCAGTAGTTCGTGATTAAGCAATGGCCTTTGGTCATTACAGAAGGTCATCTACCGCCGATTTATATTGTGGTATCGGTGTTCATCAAGGGAAAAGAAATAATGGAATTTTTGGGAAAGGAGATGGTTTCGACATCTCTTTCTTCACCTTCAATGAAATTGCTGTCTAGAGCGGCTAACGATTCGGAGGCTTCATCTTCCACATGTTTAAAGCTGAAGCTAAATAGATTCTCAAATTCTTCATGTCCTGATATACGTGTGGAAAAACAAGAGGTTTTGAATTTGAAATTTAAAGAGTCAAAGCAGATTGATGTTTTAAATTCTATAATAGAAACTCAGTTGCTGAGTGATAAGAATGAGGTGACAAATCTAGTTAACGATAGTGATGGTTTAGTAATGAATGGTTTAAGAACCAACACATTATAGTGTCCCCAATTAATCTAGATCTGGTAAAAGGTGTGGATTTGGATGTAGTTATAATGAATATGGAGAAGGTCTCTAAAAATGTTAATTTTCTTTAGAAATCTTTGGTGGTGAAAGTTTTTGGGAGAGAAGTTCCATTCTCTCTTTGTAGCATTGAGTTAAGGCGTCAATGGAATAGATTTGGGAGTTTTCATATCACTTCATTGGGCCTTGACTAGATTTTGTGTTCATTTCATTCTTCTAAAGTTATGGAAGAAGTGCTTAGTGGAGGTCCTTGGTATGTGGGAGGACACATAATAGGAATGGATAAAATGACATCTCATTTTTCTCCAACATCATTGAAAGGATTATCCTCACCAATTTGGATTTGATTACCACATTTCCCTTTACATTGTTGGGATGAGACTAATGTTACTAAGATTATCTCAAAGATAGGAGTACCATTGTTATTAGATGGGAAAATGTTTAAATGGGGTAGACGTGAAATTTTGACTGTAAATTAACTCAAGGAGTTTGGAATGAAGGTTTATATGGGAAATTTTTTCAGAGAGTTGAAGATGAAAAAGTTCTTTTTGTTTCAAATGTGACAAGATAGGTCACAAAATTGAAAGTTGCATGGATGTGATTAAAGATGTGGTAAACAAGACTCAAAATGAAGTTGGGGGAAATATTTCAAAGGTTCTGATAACAAGTTTAGATAAGAATTTCATGGATAAAATAGACATTGCAGGTTTTCAAAGGTCTTATGTCCCTTGGATACATGTGAAGTTTAAGAAAAATAGAATAATGAAGAATATTCATAATCAGAAATTAGATTTTCAGCCTGAGGTTGTAGATCCCGAGAATAATATGGCAGCTATGGATGTTCCTTCAGAAAATAAGTTTAAATTGTTGTCTCAAGTTTTTGCCGAGGAATTGTCAAGATTGGATGCTGAGGAGCTAGTTAAGCAATCCAAATATCACAAGATAACTTAGATTTTGAAGTCTAGATTTTGGAAGTCAAAATTCTAGAGTCTGGCTTGTCCAAAGATGCAGTTGTTGTTGATGAAGTTCCTATTCAATTAGAAGACGGAGAGATTGATTAAGATGCTGAAAACTATGTTGTGGATAAAGGTTTGGATACAAAAACAAATCATAATGAGTATCTCCATGGAGACAAGGTTGTTGATTTATCATTACCAGGTGGAAGCAAGGAAAAAAATGTTAACTCTGGGACTGATTTAAGTGAAGAAGTTGTTGAAAATATAGTGAGAAGTTCCCCAAATTCAGAAGATGGATAATTGGATTTGGCTTCTAATTTTGCTTGTAAGGAGAAGGTGAAAGATATTGAAGGTTTGATTGAAGTAGAGACTGATCTAGTTGGTGAAGGAGGTACGGGCAGCTCTCAAGATCCTGAAAATTTGAAGCAGATGATTACTCCTTTGTCCAAAATTGGTAAAGTGAATAATAGAGAAGCTTTGTTTGAAGATGGAAAATTCTAACTCCCTTCCAAATCAATTCATCATAAGAAAAAGTTTAACAAAGATTCAAATTTGTTTGATCCTATTAAAGGGAGCCTTAGAGGAAGGGAGGCGAGCACTCTTGGTGGAAGCATTGGAGCCACTATAGTATTTAACCCATGAAATGAGTGGGGAAAGTGAAGTTCAAGATTAGTTGGTGGATTGATTGAACATGGTGGAGTTTCTAAAGGGCAGAACTTGTGGAGGCGTCAAGATCATTGTTCATTTCTTGATGGATTTCTCTTGCTTTCTTTTCATTTCTTTTATTCTATTTAGCAATCTTTTTTTTTTCTATATTTATTTTAAGCATAGGTTGGTATTTCGAAAAGGGAACTAGAATAATGAAATTTAAGAATCATTTTATCTCTTATTTTTTACTCAATTGAGAAATCTGGGATACTAATCAACCATTTTGGTTGTTTTATCTTTGATATCCCCTCCACCCCTATGGGTTTAAAATGATAAGTAGAGGGTCTTATTTTCATTATGACATTTCCTGTTTTCTTAATATTTTCATTATGCTTCATTTGCTTTCTAATAAGGCCTCATTTTACTCTGTTCTGAAGGGAGTGCCTAGTACTTTCTTTCTACTTTGTAAAAGTTTCTATTTTTAATTTTAATGCTATATGCATTTTCTCAAAAGAGAATAAATCTCGGACATACTCAGCTTAAATTTAAAATCAAATAAAATACATTAAAAAAATTTATTCATTGAAAAAGTCCAATTTTTACTAAACTCCACAATAATATTTATATTATACTCGAATTTCACATCCATCTTTTAAAATATTAAAATAGCGGAGAAGACTCACAGTAGAAAAGGGTTATGAAATGAATATGATTTCATATTGCTCTAATTACTTATTTCCTATTAATTTTCACTAATTAAATATCAATAATTATTATATTATTCTATCCATTATTTTCTTATTATAATTTTTTAAGTTATATCACCTTATCAAATAATCTGATATGTTATTTAATTTTAAAAAAAAACAATTCGGAATTCTTTGGTTATTTAGAGTCCACAAAGGCAGTGTAATCAATTGATAATCACATTGCCTTCATTTGGTCGTCTGTCATTTAAACTTAATTAAATCAAATTACTATATTTAGTTCTTTATTAATTTGACCGGCGTGCCCAATGCTCTACGGTATTTCCTAGACTGCAGTCATGTGACTAAAGCAGCTTCTTAGTACTGTTTGGGACAACTTTGTTATTATTTTTTAAGAAAATTTTTTATAATAAATTTTTTATATTAAAATACTGATTTAAAAAATAATAAGAAAGTTATCTTAAATGAAAGGCTTTATTGTTTTGCTCAACCACTATTTTAGTTTGGCTACTATTCATTTTCATTTTTTTTTTTCTAAAAATCTTCTTTTTACAACAGCTCTAAAACGTTATATTCTTTATTATAATTTTACAAAGAAATAACAAAGTTATTCCAAAGAAAGTCTAAATTGGTTAATACAAAATTCATATTCATTGCATCCATTAATATATTAAAATCAATAAATCTTGGATAATGTCTGTATCTCCTTTCGGGTTTTTTGAGGAGAAATTATTCTGTGCGGAGGACGAACGCAGCACTACTTCCAGAGGTAAATCAGGTGCAGTCATGTCAGCGATACGGAGCCCCAGCACCGAGCGGTACCGTGCCGCAGCACTAAGCAAAGGGGAGACTGAAGACTTACAGAAAACAAAGAATAGAGGAAAACAGAGTAAAGAAAGCTAGAGCTTATGAATTCATTTTCTTCAATAAGTAACTGTTTACAACAAACATGTATATATAGAGTAGTTTGTTGGAGACACGTGGCACATGTAAGTGGGCACTGTAATGGTAGACAATGCCATGTGCTGAGAACGCCTGGAGAGTATGAAAGTGGTAGACAATGCCATGTGCTGAGAATGCCTGGAGAGTGTGAGATAGCTCGATTCGGTTACTGACTATCATGCCCCGTCAAACAGATGATGGGAGCTCAGTAATAAGTTTGCTAGAGAGAAGCTTAAACCGAGCAATAGATAAAGCCTTGGTGAATACATCAGTCAGCTGATCATGTGTACTAATATGATGCACTAGAATCTGATTTTTGTGAATACAATCCCGTATAAAATGGCAATCGACTTCGATATGCTTGGTACGAGCATGTAATACGGGATTATGAGCTAATGCTATAGCAGAAGTATTGGCACAATAAACTGCAGTAGGCATAGATGGCGGAGCAGAAAAATCAGTAAGTAAACGACGTAACCATATAATTTCAGAGGTCGTAGTAGTAAGAGCGCGATATTCAGCCTCAGTAAACGAGCGAGCGAAAGTTTGCTGCTTTTTAACCTGCCAGAAAATCAAGGATTTGCCTAAGAAATGGCAATTACCAGACACTGATTTCCTATCTAAACAATCTCCAGCCAAATCAGAATCAGTGTAGCTGTGCAATGTAAGAGAATCACGGTATAATGTTAAGCCATGATGAAGTGTTCCTTGAATGTAGCGTAAGAGCCTTTTAAGAAGATCAAAATGACTGTTCAGCGGACGATGCATATGTAAGCAAATTTGCTGTACTGAAAATGCAATATCAGGACTGGTAAGGGTCAAATACTGTAATGAACCCGCCAATTGCCTGTAAAGTACCATATTTGAAAATTCACCAGAGTCTTTGGATAACGAGAGCTTCTTAGGAGAAGAAGGAGTGATAACAGGCTTACAATTTTGCATACCAGCTTGCAATAAAATGGTTCGAGCATACTTAGCTTGATGTAAATGAACACCGTAAACAATTGGAGTCACATGTATACCAAGAAATTGGGACAGAGAACCAAGGTTTTGCATCAAGAATTTGCTATGGAGAGCAGCCATAAGACGAGTAATAGTGGATTGATCATTGCCTGTCAACAATATATCGTCTACATATATAAGAATATAGAGACGCACAGTACCGGAATGATATGTTAAGAGAGACGGATCAGCCAAGCTAAACTGAAACCCAAAATCCTGCAGGTGAGCTGACAAGGTGGCATACCACTGACGTGGAGACTGTTTCAAGCCATATATGGCTTTCTTGAGGCGACACACATGATGTGGATAAAGAACATCATGGAAACCGGGTGGTTGTTTCATTAAAACTGTGTCCGAGAGATGCCCATGAAGAAAGGCATTAGATATGTCTAATTGTGTAGTAGGCCACTGGTGATGAAGAGCCACAAGAAGAAATACCCGCAGCGTTGGCATTTTAGCCACAGGACTAAACGTTTCCTGATAATCAAACCCGGTCCTTAATGCGATAACCAGTAGAAGAAAAGGAAACATGACATGAGTTGTCAAGAGTAAGATGATGAACTGAAAGTAAGTTAAATGAGAGATTCGGAACATGATGAAGAGAGGAAAGTTGCAGATTACCTGCCGGAGTTGGAAGGAGCCCTTTACCGGTATTGTGAATAGGAAGAGTTTGGCCATTTCCCATGATGACTTGACTAGAACCAGTATATGGTTGAGAGGCTTGAATGTAGCTAGGATCGGACGTAAGATGAGAAGAAGCTCCAGTATCTAGATACCATTCAAGTGAATTGAGAGAAGAATCTGGCGTGAACAGAGTAGAAGACTGTTCGGTATTATACTGAGAATAATGGCGATACCAACACTTCACAGCTGAGTGACTCAATTTACCACAAATCTGGCATGTGACAGAAGATCTCGGAATACGGCCTCCACGAGTAGACGGCACATGTGATTGCGGTGGTCTAGAGCTGGAGGAAGAACGGCCGCGAAATGAGTTTGATCATCCTCGACCCCGCGTTCTTGGTGCAGCAAGAGCAGTAGATTGACCCGATAACTGAAGAGAACTGAGATGACGGGTGACTTCATGAGCTAAGTTAAGCTCCTCACTACACAATAAGGTGTAGAGATCATCCAATGACAATGGTTGGAGATTTGTGCGAATTGCAGTTTTAAATGCCTGATATGAGGTGGGCAGACCATTTAATGTGTGATGAATAATATCCTCAGAATCAATCGAAGCACTAGCTGCAGCGAGAGAATCGACGATGGATTTAATCTTGAGAAGATACTGAGCCATGGTTTGATCTTTCATCGCACACTGAGATAACTCGTTTTTCAGTTGACTGATCCACGAACGAGTTGATGACTGGAGTCGTCGAGCAATTGTTGTCCAAATGTAACGACAAGACATATGGAAGTAATGCTGGTGAAATAACGGAATATAGAGCAGCTACTAAGTTTTGATCAATCAAAACCCAAGCAGCATATTGAGGATTAGAACTGGAAACACCAGCGGAATTTGAAATCAGTTTGTCAAGACAAGAAGACGATCCATCTAAAAAACCTTCAAAACCATTCGCACGAAACAGTTTAAGAACTTGAGATCTCCATATAGGATGATTTTCGACTGTTAATGGAGTTGCAACAATGTTCTTGATATTTGCCATCAAGAATTTTATCTGTGCAGGAATCGGAGTGTTGTCTATAAGAGAGACGACGACATCGAAGGTGGCCGATTCAGGAAAGGGAGATACAGTAGAGGAGCTCATGATAAATTGAAGAAGAGCAGGACTTCAGAAACGAAAAAGCTGCTCTGATATCATGAAGACTTACAGAAAACAAAGAATAGAGGAAAACAGAGTAAAGAAAGCTAGAGCTTATGAATTCATTTTCTTCAGTAACTGTGTACAGTAAACATGTATATATAGAGTAGTTTGTTGGAGACACATGGCACATGTAACAAAGCTCTGGTCGTTCTAAATTTATCCTCTTATACATTTGTCTAAGTCGTCGTTTTATTAAAGTTGGAGTCATTCGAATCGGTAGCTAAGTCATTTTTCTAAGTCGATTTGTTGCGTAGCATTAGTTGAACGACTACTGCTAGTAGACTGTATCATTCACTATTTAATGAACAAGGTTTTAAAATATAGATAGAACATTAAATTATTTTATTTCTTTATTCGTATTTGGTAAAAATCAAATATGTTAATATATTTTATTTAATAGTTTTAGCCTTAGAAGATTCATAATGTTTATTGGTATCAAAAATATAAACGGGTTTTTATTATAAGACTTTATATTTATATCATACTAGAGTACAAATAAAAAAAAGAAAAAAAATGAAAAGCTCATAAAAATATGGAATGACAGAGATCATTTAATTTTCTTCATAATGAAATTAAGATTTCGTTTGAGATGCTTCTTTTTTTTTTTGCTTTCTAAAATATTTTTTAGTACAAAAATTTTTATACTAAAAAGTTATTTTAAAAAGCAATAAAAAAGCTGTCCTAAATAAAATCTAAATAGACTTTAAATTTATTCAGTTGATGCTTCAATAAACTTTTCTCAAGCGAAATTGTGATAAAGAAATCACAGACCAACAGCCAGTCCTGGATTTATCTATAAAAAATTATTTTAAGAAAAAAATTTAAAATCAATCAGAACTTCTCCAAATAAATATTTGAGCTTATTTTAACAAGGGTTTGAATCATGAGAAATTCTTCAAATTTTAATCAATAAAATGGAAGATTACATAGTATTGATGTTAACAAATTTTCTATCATATCAAATAATGATATTTTACAATAAAAAATATAAACATATCAAAAAAATTTAAATCTCTCAAAAAATAAAATAGGAAAATTTTCAAAAGAACATTTAAAAAAAAATGCACATGATCATCCAACAAAAAAGAGACCAAAATATTAAGAAAAATTGTTAAAAAAAAGGATAATTATCCCAAATAAAGAAAAAAGCACATCTTTTTTTTGTTATTTCTTGGCAAACTTCCTTCATCATCATCTCCACATCATCGCACCATGAATATATCATTGAATCAATTATTATCTCTTGTATGGACAACACCAAATGTGTAAGATTGTTGCATGCTAGAAATTTTGAGACAGTAGAGTGCGTATTTTATGCCTCAACATTATATAATGATTTATTACGTACAACTAAAAGTAGTAAGACCAGAGATTCTTATACGTGGAAAATCAGCAAAGGGAAAAAATATGGGGCCTAGTCAAGTTGTAAAATCCACTAGATATTAAATGATACAAAGATCCCTCTTTCTTCACTATTGAAGAAGAGGGAGAGTAAAGAAATCAAGTATGATAGTTAATACCCAACAACAACGGTAAATCTTACAGAAAGTAAATGCCTACAATTTACTTTTATACCCAACAACATGGTTAAATATTATCAATACTCTAGTGATGGTGGAGATTTTTTATGCTCATCCTTAGTAGCGATGGTAATTGTCAGCGGCAATAGCGAGTGGTGGTCGTCAATGATGATGGCTAAAAGTATAAGAGAGTTCTTTCTAGCTCTCCATATCCATCCTCCTTTCCTCATGTGATGAATGTGAGCCTATTTATTGGTTTTCGGCAATGGCATGCTCCATAAATTAAGACTGCTTCATTAGACAATCTATATCGATTCCATCAGCTATAGAACTTTCATCAAGCATTTAAGTACCTTAATGATTTTAGAATTGGGTAATATTGGGCTTGTTGGATTTGTCTCATCAAATTGCTCAATTCACTTAAAAGAATACCATTTTTTAAGATTGTTTCATTGTCCAATTAATGATTTGAAGCTTTCAAATATACTTAAATCCCTTTATTTGGGTTCAATTAGGCTTGGATTGGACCGATTTTGATATCATTGGGTTTGTCTTGTCAAGAAACTTAGTTTGTCTGAAAGTTCACTGAGATCGGAGCTCAAATGGTCCCAAAGTTAATTTTGAAAGTTTTCAATTCAAATATTCCTTAAGATTAATGTTTGATTAAGGTGTTTTTGGTGACGTATCATTTGCCTCCCTAATTTTAGATACCTAACTCGTGAAGTCCAAAAATATATGCTTGATTCGAAAATATTATGACAAAAATTTATAGTTTTTTTATAATTAAAAGGTACGACCGCTCCTTGGACATTAACATGGACCTCCCCTCAGAGCCATGAACCAAATAAAACTTTCTTAACTATGATTTAATCTTTCCATTAACTCGATGCATTGATCCAATAAAAACATTTTGATGAATTTTGCTCAAAAATATTTTAAATTATTCAAAAATGGCTGGAGAGGCTCTGTTGAACTTTTAAAGCATCAAAATTGAGTCCATAATATCAAAAAATTACCAGGAGCCCAAAAACTTTGGAATAGGACATTTCAGGCCAGAAATAAGGCTCGGATTGGACTGAGCCAGCATGGGCGGCCAACAGAAGTAATATAGGTGGCCTACACATGCATATTATACAGGTGACGTGCACATTGGCATGCATTTTGGCATAGTTAGATCAGCGCCGCTCGACACATAATGGGGTGTCATTTGGTAATTTTCTTAAGAATTTTTTTTTTGTTAAGATTTTTTTTAAAGATCTCTCTCTCTCTCTCTCTCTCTCTCTCTCTCTCTTAAAAGATATTCTTTTTTAAATTTAAAGTAATGTAACTCCACCCATCAATTCATGTAGCTGCTTTTCTTAATGTTTCATAATATTCTTATTCAATGTTATGAAACTCTTCTTCTACTTCTTAAAGTATAAATACCCCTTTATGTGAGGAGGGATGTGCATCACTCCTCTCTAATCTTCTCTTTCTCTTATTCTTTTTATATTGGAGGCATTTCACTATCTTGAATATGTTGCATCTCCTATCAAACTCCATTTCCCCATTTTGTGTTGAAGAAGTTTCTCTTGTGCCCAATCTTTCTCTTCTCTTCTCATTCTTACATTGGAGTCATTCCATGATTACAAAAACTTATTGTATCACTGAATGTAGAAATCATATTGATGACAGTACTTCAGCACATTAAGTTTTATATTTAAATACTTGTACAAATCATATATATATATATATATATAAGCTTGTTGTTTTCTTTCAATTTATTTGATGTAATGAATATTCCATCTTTATGCAAGAATAATTATGATTTATAAACTTGCCCCTAGAAGAAATTAAGTCATTTATATTGATGACAATACTTCAGCACGTCCTTCGCACTTCGATAATTCCTAAGGCTGCTGATTGTGTTCACATCACTCCCCTTCTTTCATTTGCCACCTATTACATTTTAGCACATCGTGAATTCAATGCTACCGACCTGAACTTTCGCTACATCGACCATTTACTACCATTGGGGATCCAGGTCATAGGAGGAAGCTAAATCTAGCCCTAGGACATATCATTTCTTATGTCTTAGAATCAAAATATAACCTCCAATATCCTGCTCCACCAAACCTCCAACCTACTTTCTACTCTAACATTTTCTTTCAAACTCTTCACAGTACTCATCTCCACCCAGGGGACGGGGAAGCTCAGGCGGAGGAAGAGGAGGCTCCTGCACCTGTTTCACTTCGCCAACACTCTCAGCTGGATTAGCTAGTGGAACGCTTTGACTAGTGGGAGGCTCATTTTGACACGTACGTTGTTGCTCAAGAGCAGCAACATGCTGAGGACTTAGCCCATTTTAACACCTACATTGCACACCAGTAGCAGCAACATGACCAGGACATAGCCTGATTTCGTGCACAGTTTGCTACACTATCGAGCTACTTTTAATAGCCACCTCCACCACCACCTCCTCCTTCAGATGATCAGGAGCCGTCATTTTACTAGTTGTTCTTTTTAAGTTTTTTTTGTTGCTGTAGTTTCTTTCTATTTTTCTATTGTTTAGTTTTCTACCTTATTTATGTTCTACTTTCCTCTTACTTTTTATGATGTCAAAAGGGGGAGTAGTTATTTTAGTTTATTCCAATTTGTTCTAGTTTGTTATGTTATGTTGATTAGTTGAACTATTGAAATTATATTTTGTTTCCTTACTCATTTAAAAACTGCTATGAAGTGTTTCAATTAAAATGTGTGTTTGCCATCATCATCAAAAAAGAGGAGATTGTTGAGAATCTGTTTTCATGGATTATAATTTTAATGATAGCAAACACTCTTGTTTCTCTACAACTGCCTTTCCTACTGACATTTCAGGTCCACAAGATTAAACGTCAATTGAAACCAGCTCAAGATTGAGTAGACTAAGTCTGAGTCACTTTGTACACTTTGCCCTTTTGAGTCTATTATAAAAGGTGTGGCTCCTGATGCTAATTAATATTACACACACACACCTTGGGAGAATTTCTGACTATTTCTTATATTTTACTATTTTTGATAATATCATCCGGGACGATATTTATATCGGCCTAGACAATCAATTCAAAAATAGAAACCCTAATCAGGGCATCATGGTTAAGGCAATCGTCATTAAGCCGATCGGCATGGATGATATTGTATCGGTCGGGACGATAGGCTCAAATCAGAAAGAATCAACTGTGAGATCTATTTAGGCATTAGTTATTTTTGGACATCAGCATGGACGATGTAGCATAATTATGTCTAAATTGATCAGGTGATTAGGAAAAGTAATTAAGGCTGATTGCACGATCACATCGGCATGGCTGATTGTAGGATCAGCCGGGACGATGTCGTGGACGATTGACATCGGCCAACTTCTATTCAGGGCGATGTTTAGGATGATTTTACTCAGATTTGAACTAATCGTCCAGGATGATATCCTATCAGCCTGGACGATATGACCAAAAATTGTCTAATCGCCCCAAACCAACTGGGCTGATTGAGCGAAATTTACACTGATCAGCCAGGCCGGTACCCATATCGACCTGGACGATAAAGTTGGTTTGTATAAAATAAGAGCTTTTCCGAAGCTCTTCTATTTAAAATCTCTTATTCTACCTTAGAGGTGATCTTTTGCTGCTATCTTGACCTGAGAAAGCCTAGAGGAGAGGGAGAGAGAGGGAGAGAGAGAGAGCGAACTTTGTGAGGGGGAGCTTGTGAGGGAGTTTCACAAGTGTTACTCCAAGCATTATTCCACTTCTTCTTCTTCCACTATAGTCTCTTGTCCTTAGTGGGTTGAGAGAGGTTTTCTTCAGCAATCAATCAAGATTCTCTGTCTGCTTCAGGAAGAAGCAAATGGAGTTGGGTTCTCTGCCTTGCCGGGGTCGGCAGAAAGAACTTTTTGTGAGGGCTTCTCCGCCTTGTTGTGGGAGAAAAAAAAGAGTCACGGTCTTTAGTGCAATACCCGGAGGGCACCTCTTGGGAGTGGACGTAGGTCGAGTTGACCGAACCACTATAAATTTCTGTGTCCTTTTACTACTACTTTCCACATTTATTCTTCTGCACTTTGATTTTCATTGTGGTGATTTTTGTTTGAGTTTGGTGATTATGTTTTGATCAAAATAATTTTTAAAATACCAATTCACCCCCCTCTTGGTTAGCCTTGGGCTAGTTCATAAGGGCTTAACATCCCTAACGAACTTTCAAAACTATGTAGTTGGATATCAACGATCATACTTGATTTCATATCCTCTCTTTCTTCTCCGATAGTAAAGAAGGGAAGATCTTTGTATCATTTACTATCTAGTAAATTTTGCAACAGGACTAGGCCTCTTTTTTGAGTTTTTCAGGTAAAAATTTCTTTGGTCCTGCTACTTTTATCTTTTCATGTTGCATCTTTATACACTACTAAGACCTGCAACACATACTCTATAGACTCAAATCTAAAAAAAAATTATGGTCCACTTACTTTTTTTTTTGCTCTTAAAAATAAGTTTCTCAATCATAATTTTACTATACTTTTACTGTTTTCGAGATATAAAATTATATTTTTAAGTTTAAAAATGTAAAAAAAAAAAAGATAGAAAATCATTGTGTGTGTGTATATATATATATATATATAATTATATTATTTTTTATTATTCTTTTATATCATAAAAAGAAGAAAACTATCCTATACACGCGCAGATCTACAGTGAGGGCTCTGGGGGCACAGGCCCCATTGACCCAAAAATAAAAATTAGTTTATTTTAAATTGCATTAATATAATTATTAATACACATAAGATTAAATTTAAATTTTAAAACTAATCCCCTGTTTCTGCTCCGCCTCCACGGCTCCACCTAATTTTTTTTCTAACGTTGGAACTTGGCATTATGCTTTTATCTCTCCTCATTATCTCTCCCCTCTCTCTCTTTAATCTCTCCCAACCCCGCCTCTCTCTCTCTCTCTGTCCTGCCAATGTTTGTTTAATTTTTTGGAGAGGAATTAATAAATTTTTAAAATAAATTTAAGTAAAATAATTAGTTTAATTATATTAACTTTATAATTTTATATTATTTATAATTTTTTTACTAATTGTGAACCATTATGTCTAATTAATTTAATAAAAATAATTTAGAATTAACAAACAATTAATTTAAACTTTTGATAGATTATGACCTTGTACTAATTTAAATTCAATCAATCTAAGTATAGTTCAAAATTAAGACCTAATTTAATTAATTCAAATAAAATATCTTAGTATAAAAGTAATCTATTTGAACTCAATTTATTAATTACCATTGGAGAAATATTAATTTTTAATAAATAATAAGATATATAATGATATATCTATTTTTTAATTGAAATGCATATAATTTTAGATGTATTTTTTATAATTTTTCATTAAAAATATGACTCATGATTTGTGTTAACAATGAATAAAAAATGGTATTTTAAGAGTAATTTAATGACTTAATTAATTTGTGCCCCCATACAATTTTTTTTTTTATCTCCGCCCCTGATCCTATATAAACCATAATTAACATTTTTTTTATAAAAATGATTATAAAGCAATTGTTAATGACAAAGGAGTTGAAAAGTTGTTTTTCTTTTTTGGAATTTTGAGCCAATTAAATGCAAACTCATAGACACATCACACAAGTAAGCCACGAACCCAAGGCCTCTTTGTCGTTAGCAAAAGCTCTAAACCAATTGATCAAGGTGAGCATTTAGTTGGATTTTTTATTTATATTTATGCAAGCTCACCATAGAAGTATTGTTTTGGAGTTTTGGCTATCAATTTATAGGCCTTAGGTTCGATGCTTGCGTATGTGTTAATCTATGAAATTGTTCTAATTAGCTGAAAAGTCCCCCCAAAAAAAAACTAATATTTATTTTTTTTCGATATTAATTTTTACATTATTCAAATCGCAGTCGCTTATAAGTTTCTTTAATTACAAAACGTTTGTTTAAGGAGATGAAACTTCTTCATTAGTAACCAAAAAATAAATCTATTAAGCTTTTTTTGGTCGGCAGCGCTTGGTTAGGGAAGCTTCCTTTTCGCTGGCTTCGTAGTGCTTAAATGCTGAACTACTTTTTCCTCTCGCTGATAAAGAAAGCAAGAGCAAGGTTGTATTATGCTCATGTAAAAGAATAATTTTAAGATCATGAATTCGGTCATACATTTTATGATTTATTAACAATTATTCTAAAAAATATAATCTATTTATTTAATATATAATGTGAAAATATACATTTATTATTGTTATTTTTAATAATTCTTAATTTTTATGATTTTAGATATAGAAACACATTACACGATAAGTGTGAAATATTATGCAATTACATACTTGTGACATTATATGAGTATGAATATTGTATACTATTTAAAGCCTATTATCGAAGATTTAAAACTTCTAACAACAATAAGAACATGAAATCTTGCTAACTGAGGTCAGCTCCATAAAAAATTTGTACTGAGATATCGTATATATAATTAATGGAATGAGCTTTAAAATATTTGATTAATTAGTATAATTAAAAATTATCATATATAATACTAATTTTAATATAAATTAAAAATTTTAAATTTATTTATATATGTTATATCAAAATATCTGGAATTAATTTTTTTCAATTGTGCATAATATGCAGAACTAAATAAAATATGGTCACCGATCTTAAAATAAATAAATAAATAAATTAAAACTTATTGAAATGGGTATTCAACCCGTAAAACCCGCGGGTAAACCAATGAAAAGTCGATTGTACGAGTAAACACACGTGGCACAATTCTCGGCCCACCTACGCGTAGTCCGGTACTCTCAGTATTGAAAATGGGCCCACATGTGCGGCCCAAAACTCTCTCCTCTTCCTGGGAACAATTGGTGGGTCCAAGTCTCCGTGTGTTTTTCTCCAAGCCCAACTATAAAATCCCTATCCTTTCACCCAACTCTACCACTAGTTCTCTCCACTGCTCTGTTCCATTTCTTATTTTCTGGTCTGCTTTCTTCATCTCAATCTCTTAACTTCAAGATGACGACCGTTGTGTTGCCGGAAGAGGTGATGATACAGATGCCGATACCGCCGCCGGCGATAGCTGCCGGATCTTATCCGCCTCCTCGAAGCGCCGTTTCCATCGCGAACTACAAGAAACTTATGTGTCATGTCGATCAACTTAGCAAAACATGCAGAGCATCATCTTGGTTGGAATCCATGAAAGAATCATCTCCAACTTATTTAAGCGCGGACAGCGATTGGAAAGTAAGTAGATTCCTGTCAATCTAAGGTCTACTTTTTAGCAAGATTTAATTAGGGCAAAAGGTTTCATCTCTGTTATTTGGAGCAGAGGAGGCACCCCTCGGCATTGAGCAAGTTCGACGAGATAACGGCGGCGTCCATGGGGAAGAAGATTGTCGTGTTTCTTGACTACGATGGGACTCTTTCTCCTATCGTTGAGGATCCGGATTCTGCTTTCATGACTGCATCGGTGTGTTTCTTGCCATATTCTGCTGATCTCTTGTGCCTGGGATTTCGATTATTTCTATTGACTTTAGGTTTTTGGATTTTGTTGTATTTCAGATGAGAGCTGCGGTGAAAGGTGTGGCCAAATATTTTCCTACTGCTATTGTGACCGGGAGGTGCATAGATAAGGTACATTGCTGTATTCCCTTTTGCAAATATTATGGATGTAGGGATTTTTGATATTTTAGGGTTCTTGTTTGTGTATTTTTTATGTTGTATTTTAGTTGATTTTTCTTCTTGTTCGCTGCTTAGGTGTTTAACTTTGTGAAATTAGAAGAGTTATTCTATGCGGGAAGCCACGGTATGGATATCAAAGGACCTACCAAATGCCCTAAGCACATAAAAGCTCAGGTTATTGGGCATTTGCCATAATATAATATTTCCTTTTTAAATATCTAATCTTACTGAATAGTTTTAATTATTTGAATATTTTAGTGACGTCTTCTTCTTCTTCTTTTTCTTGTGTTCTAGGCAAAATCAATACTTTTTCAACCAGCAAATGAGTTCTTACCAATGATTAATGAGGTGTGTGAAGTTACTGATTAATATATCTTTTCAATTTAGAAGATTACATTAGAAAGTCTTATCTTTCAACTACTGTTTAATTAATTTTATCTCATCTCTTAATCAAAAGGTCTACAACTTACTTTTGGAGAAAACCAAATTAATCCCTGGTTGCAAAGTCGAGAACAACAGATTCTGCTTATCAGTTCATTTTCGATGCGTGGAGGAAAAGGTAAAAAAGATCTTGAACATGATCATGCTTCTTGTTATACAGAAAATGCCCTGAAAATGAGATAAATGTGAACAATATGTTTAGATTTTTTATAAAAATTTCTTTCTTCAACTTTTTATCAGAGATGGAGTGGACTTATTGAGGAAGTTAGATCTGTGCTTGCAAACTATCCAAATCTCCGATTAACTCAAGGAAGAAAGGTATGTATTTTAGATTTTTAGTTCGCTTATTTTCAACAATTGAAATTTAAATATAACCTATACATCGCTCCTGTATATGTGATGGGACATGAGCAAAACTTTTTTCAAGAAAAAAAAAAAATTAATGGACAACAACAACAACCACCTTAATTTAATATTAATTGGCTTAATTGTTGACTTTTCAAATTTTATTATTGATCAATTGATACAAATATAAACAGACGCTTATCATTTTATTTATGAAATGAAATTTAGCAGAACTAAAAATGTTATAGATATCTTAAAATTATCGTATTAAAATAATATACAGAGATTAAATATTATGTAAATATTTATTGTTTTTATAAAGTACAAAACGCGTTTTCTTTGACTGGAAATTTTCTTTTCTTATTGCTTTTAATAGTATAGACGGCCATGACCTTGACTTGCACATAATTTTTGACCTCACAGGTATTAGAGATTCGCCCTACAATTGAATGGAACAAAGGCAAGGCGATTGAATTCTTATTAGAAAATCTTGGTAAGCTTTGACAGATTTCCAGCAAACGCTTTTCCTCATAACTTTTATTACTTTCTTATGGCATCATTTGAGGCAGCTCTTTTTATTACTTTCCGAAATTTTTATACTCAAAAGCTCTTTCAAAAAAACATTAAAAAAAATTCTTCCAGAAGAAGCCTAAGTCATTAGCCATCAAATGTGACCATAAATGTAATTAATACTTGTCCTGCTTTTTCCCAGGATTTGACAATTGTGAAGACATTTTACCGATCTATATAGGGGATGACCGCACCGATGAAGATGCATTTAAGGTACATAAATGAAGAAGACAAGTTACAATATTTAATATTCTCTCAATCAAAGTTGACTGTTAAAGTTCAAATCTGTGTCAGGTTTTGCGTGACAGACAACAAGGATTTGGTATTTTAGTTTCTAAATTTCCTAAGGAAACTAATGCCACATACTCCCTTAAAGAGCCTTCTGAGGCAAGTAACAGTCCACTGTTTATATATGAAAAATGGATTATGATTGATAGGTTAATTAACTTCAATTATTCTTATGAATTAAACAGGTCAAAGATTTTCTGCTTCGATTAGCTGAGTGGAAAAGATTTTCTCAGAGGGACAGGTTGAAGTTGTAAGTAAATACGACAATTAGTATGGACAAGGCTTCATCTGTTAATAATCCTCTTTTTTGTGGGATTTCCATGGGGGCTTAAAGCTGAGCGTATATAATATTGTAACACTTATGCACCCCATAAGAGAAGCTAGTAGAAGCTTTTGTCTTGTAATTATCTTATAGCCAAGAAAGGAGAAATGAAGTAATGTTTCCCTTGTTAAATTAACTATGTTCTTCGCCCTTAACATATGCTGATCGTAAAACCTTCTGTCCTGGTATACTTTATTTACCATGTGCTGCTGCCTTTTTATGCTGAGATACTATGATGAGTTGTATTGTAAGGTATAATTTCGTAGGATTGTTGGTGTTATTGAGTCTAGTTTTCTATATAGGAATTCAAAGCAATCATTCAACAAGTGATGATTGCTTATCGGTGATCTTATCTTTCCAGTTTTTTTATTATTATTATTTGGAAATTTGAAAGCATTTAATCAAATTCTATTAAGTAAAAAAATTTTCAAACTAATCAACCTTAATTTTAGTCCGGCTGTCTCTCATTAGGTGATAAAAGCATATTAAATTCTTTGAGAAGTTGAGGCATCAAATGTGTTGCGGACTAGAATATAAGCGGCAATAGAGGTTTAATTCTACATTTTAACGTTGCACAGATATCTAGCCTTCAAATAGAGAACACAAGATTTTTTTACTTGAAAATTTCTGGAAAGGGAAAAACCATGAGGCATAGCCTAGTTGAAAAAATTTCGCTAGAATTTGAGTTGAGTACAGTGGACTGACTCGTCCTTGAGGACGATCATATTACAAATGTCAACTGTATGGTTGAAGTTTAATGTCAAATGTGGCGTCACTTGGAAGTTAGGGCGTCAGTTAGAAGTCCGGCAGTGACTTGGCGGAACTCTGGCGTCAGTTGTTGTTCTTGGGGAGTTCAGACCCTTAGGTGGTGTTCCGGTGGAATTCAAACCCTTAGGTGGTGGTCTGGTGAAGTTCACGCCCCTAGGTGGTGGTCCGGCGGAGTTCAGGCCCCCCGGTGGTGGTCCGGCGGAGTTCAGGCCCTCAAGTGGTGGTCCGGTGGAGTTCAGGCACTCAGGTGGTGGTCCGGCAAAGTTCAAGCCCTCAAGTGGTGGTCCGGCAGAGCAACGATGTCAGGTGGTGGTCCAACGGAATTTTGGCCCTCAGGTGGTGGTCTGGTGAAGTTCAGGCCCTGAGGTGGTGGTCTGGCAGATTTCAGGCCCTCAAGTGGTGGTCCGGGGAGCAATGACATCAGGTGGTGGTCTGGTGGAACTCAGGCGATGGTTGAGGAGCAAGGAGGCAAGAGTGATCTCTGATCTCTCTCTTGAATCTTTTGGCTTGGGGTCCCCTTTTCAAGAGAAAATAGTGCTCTATTTATAGATTTTTGGAGTGGCAAAGTCCGTAAATAGGTGGGATGACGCCGGAGCTGAGCCATTAGTTGTGTTAACTTCAGGATAATTCAATCTATTTGGTAGCTTATCTGGCTACATAGATTTTGTGCTTTCATTTGTTTTGTGTAGCCTAGTATGTTCCTTCTTTTGGGCTATAAATAGGTAGCCAATGTCATGTAATAGAGATATATTTTGAGATGAATAAAAATTGAGTAGTTTTACTCTTGTTTTGGGTTTCTGTATCCTGAAGGATTTCAGGTGGTGATCCCTCTCTTCCAAGAAGTTCTTGGAGTTATCCGCCGACTGCCACCGGATCGTCGACGTGGATTCGTCGAGCCCCCTCCGGTCCGATGTCATTTAGCATCAGAGCCAGCAGGCTCTTCTTGCTCTATATCCTAAGTAGTCCTCAGGTGGTGAAGCAAAAGACCTTGACAGAGAAGCTTTGGAGAGGCGAATCAGCAAGCTGCCGTTGATGCAAGGGCGTATTCGCTTGTAGGAAGTTTATCGGATTTGTGAACTAGCGGGAGAGAGATCGGAGCAGCCGGCGCAGCTTTTTTTTTCTTTATTTTTGAGCGGATCTTGCAGGCAGACAGGACGAAAAGATTCGTGTGGGAGATCGCCCAAGCAATCTGGCGGTGGTCTGAACCAGTTCGTTTTCCCATCCAGTTTCCAATCGCTGTCTTCTCCAGCAGTTGACACTTTATTTCTCCTTCCAACAGTCAAGAAGGGCGGTCTAGTAGCCAAGAAGGAGGAAGGACGTATAGGCACTCGGTGTGGACACAAGAAGCGGACGGACAAGGTTTGAATGCTTGGCTGGACTCGCAGGCACGGTTGACGTTGCATGGTTCTTGGTTCGTGGATCGCATATGCAGAAATAGAGAAGCCAAGAAAGCATATGGTTTCTCTAGAAAGCCTCTAGGCTGATCATTTGGATTGCATAGGCAAAAACAGAGAAACCAAGAAAGCATCTGGCTTCTCCAGAAAGCCTCTCGGCTGATCATCCCAGGCGAAATCCGTCGGGACATTTGCAAGCTTGATGTGTTTCTTGAAATAAGAGAACAATGCATTTGCCTTCATGAGTGTGAGCCTCTGGACGTTTTATTATTCGGAGAGAAAGAGCTATTTGGCCGTGGAATTGTCGTCGACCACTGAACGACTCCTCGGGAATTAAGGTCCTTCGTCCCCGATTTCGTCTTATTCATCAATTATTATTGTCATCGAACCTCTTCTTCTCCAGCAAGTTTCGCTCCAGAAGATGTCACCTCACCGGAATCTTCAACAACCACTTCAAGAAGTTGACAGTAAAGATCTTCAACAAGAAATTATTCGACTCAAACGGCGATTGTCAAGACTTGAACGACTGACATACAGGAGCACTCCCTAAGACGTTAATGGCTTTCGATCATGTGACAAGTACGCTCCCATGACAGCTTCAAGATCATTCATTCCAGCTAAATCCTTACGAACCGACGACGACGACGAGGACATTTCAGATGATCAGATATCTTCCACCTCACCCTCAGTCGAGTTCGGCTTTGAAGAATTTGAAGATCCATTGCCGAATTCGTCGTTCTTGCCTCTCTACGATGAGCTGGTGTACGACGTGTATGATGACGACATGCTCGATGGAGTTCTTGATATTGATCAGCCCGCATATGATGATAATGAGGGCAAAATTGAGGGCCAGGTGGGGCCAAATGTCCAACCGGAACTATTCATTCCCAATGTTACGAACAAGACATCAATTGCGCCCGCTATCGTTGATAAAAAAATTGCATCTGAAGACCTCCTCAATGGGTTGGATCATGAAGCTCTTATCTTCTCCTCTAGATGGCTGAAAGAACCACCTTGTGTCCTAGATGCTTTCACAATCACAAGTATTCCATATGCTTATGCTTCTCTTGAGAGATTGGTAGGCAAATCGATACCGGATGGACCTATCCTAACTGGTTTAGCCAACCAAATCCACCTCCTTATGGTGGCCGACCAGATTTTTGCCTATGAGCCTGAAGTTCCTCTTACCCCGGTAGTATGACGCCGGAGCTGAGCCATTAGTTGTGTTAACTTCAGGATAATTCAATCTATTTGGTAGCTTATCTGGCTACATAGATTTAGTGCTTTCATTTGTTTTGTGTAGCCTAGTATGTTCCTTCTTTTGGGCTATAAATAGGCAGCCAATGTCATGTAATAGAGATAGATTTTGAGATATGAATATGATGTGAGTTTAGTCTCATGTGTTTCCTGTATCCTAAGAGTGATTCTGTTCGATTCTTAGGTGGTGGATCTTTCCTCCAAGAAGTTCTTGGAGAGGTGTCCGGCTACCGTCACCGGATTGTCGACGTGGATTTGTCGAGCCCCCTACCTGGCCGGTGTCATGGGAGGTCAAGGGCAAATGCGGAGTGGTTGGATGGACGGCCGATGTTGAATCCCTTGATCATGAACCGTTTGATGGACATTTGAATGTCTTAGTGATGTCGAAATTCAGTGATATTTGGCTCGTTGGGTTCGCTTCGTCGAACCGCTCGATTCGACTAGAAGCACGTTATGTTTGGAAATCATTTTGTAATGCAAATTATGGTTCGAACCTTCCAACAATGCTTCTAACCCTTGATTTGGACCTGTTTGGGCTCAGATTGGGTTGTATTTGTGTCGTTGGGTTCGTATTCTTGAGACGCTCAATTGGACTGTAAGTTTGTTGAAATCGGAGTTCAGATGGTCCCAATTTTAATTTTGGAAGTTTTCAACTTGATTTTGCATCGAGATTCCTGCCCGATAAAGATACTTTTTTGATGACATATCAAGATATTTAATGAGCAATTATCTCCATTGGAATTTTTTTTTCCATCTTAGAGAGGATTATTCCAAGCTTTTCTTCTAGAATACTAGACAAAATTCAATAATTTTATACTAATCATCCAATATAATTTGTAAGTCATCTTGCCTATTTTTCATGAACTATTCTTATAGGAAAATGCTAGTCATCCTGGCTAAAAGGGTTGTTTTTTACTAATCGTTCAATCGTCCTGAACGATCAGTTGTGTTGAGTTGAAAATTAGGGCTTCTTTTGGAGGCTCCCTATTTAAGCTCTCTAAATTGTCTCTTTAGATGATCTTTTACCGTGGAGTTGATAAAAGAGGGAGCTTAGGAAAGGAATTGGGAGAGCTTGAGAGAGAGAGAAAGAGATCCTTTTGAGGGGGAGTTGTGAGGGAATCACAAAGGTTGCTCCAAGCAAGGGGTTTGTCATCTTCATCAAGTTATTTCTTCAATTCCTTAGTGGCTCTGGGGAGATCGTCTTCAACATTAGATCCAGGTTCTCTACCTACTCTAGGAGAGAGTAAAAGGATTCACAAATTCTCTGTCTTGTCTAGGAGGGTGAAAAAAGATTTCTATGTTCTCTACCTACTCAAGGATGGAGTAAAAGGATTCAAGATTCTTTGCCTCACCATGTCGATGGGAAGATTTTTTAAGGGCTTCTCCATATTACTGTGAGAGTAAAAGGAGAGTTACTTTAGTTTAGTGAAATACTTGAAGAGGGAGTCTCCACGGAGTTGATGTAGATCAGATTTGATTGAACCACTATAAAATTCAGTGTGTTCTTTCTTATTACTTTTATCGCATTTTATTTCTATACTTTTCTGTGATTAAAAAATTTGATTGTATTATTATCATCAAAATTATTTCTCTTCTGCATCAAGGGTTATTATTTTGTTTTAAAATATTTAAAAAGATCAAAAACATTTTTTTTTTGTTTAAGATTTTTTAAAACTACCAATTCACCCCATCTTTATTATCATCGGCCTAGTTCTTTAGGTTTTAACACCCCTAACAAACTTTTAAGTGATATCAGAGCAGGATTCATA